TTTCATCCACTAACATGCAGCCATAAAGTAGGACATGTGTTATAGAAGTAACAGAAATAATAATATCCAAGGCAGTGAGTTACTGAAGTGAAGCAGAGGTAGGCTAGGTTCAAGAGAAAAAACCTACTCTAGCTGTTCTTTCACTACTGCAATATCCTCTGGGATGTTTTAAATTATATGACACATATACTCTGATCCTGAAAAATTAAGGGATACTCTCTGGACAGGACAGGCAAACCTGAAGAAAGAGCGTCAAAAATAATATTACATGGACTTTGCTTCTTTTCTTGCTTGAGGAAAAAGCCCCCATCAAACACAGTCTTCACAGCATCTGTAAAAACACATGCTTCCCTGGGGCTACAAAAGGCAAGTTCTATTTTACCTCTACCTTTACATCAATTTTCCAGCACTATTCTGCCTTTTTTTTTCTTTTTTTTTTTTCTTTTCTTCTTTTCTTCAAGATCAGTCTCCTGACTGCCTTTCTTTTCCATCAGTTTCTTAAACTTGAACTAATGTAAGTCTTTCCTCTATATTTTATTTTACAATCTCCTTCTGTGCCCTCACAAGCCCACCTACCACTGGAGTTTTCCTAAGTCAACTAGTCCTACCAAAAGCCATGAGGCAGACCAAATGTTCCTTTGCCACACCTATGTCTCTCATCTTTACGCTATTTACATCCACTTACATACCTTCATATGAGTGAAAAGGTCTATGAAAATATCTTACATTTCCCATTATGCCCTGAGCTTTGAATGCGTTGAGATCATCTTGCTTCTCCCACCTATCGTCACTCCCATGTCCTCTGTAAACACACGCCAATAATGCCCTATAGGTCTTTTATTTTCAAATCCTATTTCTGTTTATATGCACTCTGCCCCTGTGGTGAGAATGTGTCCCGATTCCTCCCCTGTTCTGCAGGCCAGACTCACCTTCTCTTCTGCTGGGAGCAAACCACCTTCACTAATTGCTGTGAGCAAATTCATCACCACCTGCAACACTTATTGAAGACAGTAACCGCCTTAGTAATGGCTGCAGCCTCTATTCTACAGAGAGTGGTATTTATTTTCGTAAAGTGTATTTATGAAGAAAGTGCCCCACCCTCCTTGGCAATAAGCAGGCTAATAAATAAATAAATAAATAAATAAATAAATGGCGTAACACAGCTGAAAATCATTTTAAGACTATCTCAGAGTTTTGTGTCATTTTCCAGATTGCTGAAGAGCTCCGGAACTTTGCCTGAGCTCAGCTCTTTGCTCACTTCTCATATTGCAGCAATGTTAAAGACAAGCATAGAATGCTTTGGGATGGAAGGGACCTTTAGAGGTCGTCAAGTCCAACCCCCAAGCTCCCTAGCACATCCACACTTTCTCAATCGGCACCAAATGGCACCTCTGTGTTGTTTAAATGCTTGAGTGCACAAGAAGGAACATATTCACTACCATGCTTTCAACTACTGCCTACAGCAAAGGTAACAGTGGTACTTTGCACATGCGTGGAGTAGCCTAGCAGCCGTCGGTACTTACACAGAAAGCCTCCAAGAGCAATCAAGGGTGTTGTAGGAAGAGGTGGCGTAGATGCGAGATTGCAGCTGGCCTGCTTCTCTCCATGCCAATAGTAAACTAAAGACTTAGCACAAACTGAGACAGCGGTGAGCTACTACACTTACTACCATCAAATGACATCAAATCAAATAAAGGCTGAACAGCTTGAGGTCAATGAAGATGGCAAGGTAAGCATTGCAAGAAAAAAAAGACAGAAATCACGGTGTTTAAGACACTCCGCTGATGGACAGACGTCTTGCATGGCTTGGGATATACCATTAGATTTCTGAAACAAAGACAGTGCTGTTCAAGCTAACTGTTATTCTACCTGATGGGACTCCTTGTCTAATAAAAAGTTATTTAATGGGACTATCAGCAGAAAGTCTTCTTTCCTGTAGCCCAGCTCTTCATAATTAAAGTCATAGTGATAAAATATGCTTTACTCATAGCCTACTTAGATCATATGTTCTTTAGAGCAGAAATTTTTCTTTAGGATGGGCCTCCAAAGAGCTTCTGGTAATTCCAGGAAAAATCCCTATTTTAACCACGTTTTAATTGGTTTAATTATTTTTCTATATCCACACTTTTGCCCTACTGTAATACATATTCTTCAATACTTCCATATTTTCCAAACACTCTGGTATCTTTTTGAAACTGCTATAACCTTTTAAAGGATGGTAGTATTGTGGCAATAACTAAAAAAATAGTGCAAGTGAAATGTTTTGTATGCTCTGAAGGGAAAAGGGATGTATACAACTCATTGTTATTTAAAAAAAAGTACATCTTAGGAGGCACATGGAGATATTCTTCTGCTGCTTTTTTAAACCTAAGAAGAAGAAAAGAGAGAGGGGAAGACACAAAAAAGGGGGAAAGGAAAAGAAGACAATAACAAAGAGAAAGAGAAAGTTAAGTGACATAAATACCGTGGAGGTGAAATACCACTGAAAGTGGAAGGAAAACAGGTGAATCTCCAAACATCACTTCTAAAAGCAATATAATCTTCATTCGCTTTTTGCTAATTACCTTCTCTCAGTTTCTTTTTTCCCTTTGGGGGGAAAAAACCTTAAGCTTTTCTTGTTTTGGAATATATGTCCTCACAACTTAATATTCCAACCTCAGTTTTGCATGATGACGACCTCAATTTCTTTCCCAGGTCCTCTTGAGAATTGTCAGAAGATAGGAGGAAACAGTATCAATCCCTTTATTAAGGTCATTTAGCAATCCTCATGATATTCATTCTCCCAGCTGTTTTCTTAATAACCCTAATACCTTTATAATTTGCAATGGTACTTTGAAATTTATTCAAGAGTTAGCAGCCATCGAGGAGATGTCCTCAAGCTAACCTGTTTGTACTTGGCCAAATTATAAGTTTCAGAATATCATGATTTGCACTTTTTGCTGTAAGAGCTTACCAGAAGCACGGAGCTAAAACATTCCAAGTTTATCATAAGGGCCATCATTTTCTAAAATAACTTGATTTGATTAGATTTAGTTTGTCAAAGTACGTATTGGTGGACCAATTCCCCCAAACTCCACAAATTAGAAACAGAATCATATTTCTAATGTAAGAGCAGTGTCTCATGCAACCCCATGATGCTCTAAGAGTTGTACGGAAAATGGAATTCCCATTTCAGAAAAAAATCCCTGGACATGCAGGTAAGGGTATTTTTGAGCAGATATCACATCATCATGTGGAAATGTCACGGTATTTTAGGAAAACTCAAGCTACCATTTAATTATCAAATATTTTCAGTCTCCCAGAGCTATCTGGAGTACCCTCACTGTGGGCAAGCACTGAAAAGTGAACAGGGATCTTGGCCTGCTAACATAATCAGAATTTAGCCAAAACTTAGACAATTTGTCTCAATATTTCCATGGAAAAAATGGGAAATTTCCAATGAACTTGGGTTATCCTCTTTTCAGACAGCCTGACCACACTGCAAATCAAAGCGGGGACAGATCTAGGAGTCACGTTTCCTTCAGATCATGCATCATCATCAGAGGTAACTCACATTTACGTACATTAACATTTTAAAAGCAGTTGTCAGGACTGAAGAAGCTCAGCCTGGGTACTAAGAAAAGACTGCACACCCTGACAAGTACCACACACAAAAATTTTAAGCAAATAATTAAGCACCAAACTAAAGGCAGGACCCTGAGGTTTATCAACAAGGTTTCTTATCGTTTTCTTTTGACTTCTTGCTGACTATTCCCGTTTCCAACTATTCAACTCGTACAGTTAATGAAGTAAGGAGCGTACAGAAGCAGTCTCATTCATTCTATAACATAGATTTATCTCAAAACAGAATTCACTGATAAGTCGTTATGATCCAAGGCTTAAACATTTGAGTTCAACTAAAAGACAAGTTGTTATGGAAGACATTTTTTACAATGAGGGTGGTGAAACACTGGACCAGGTTGCCCAGGGAGGTGGTAGATGCCCCATCCCTGGAAACATTCAAGGCTAGGTTGGACAGGGCTCTGGACAACCTGGATCTGCTCATTGCAAGGGAGTTGGAGGAGATGACCTCTAAAGGTCCCTTCCAACCCAAACCATTCTGTGAGTCTATGATTCTATGCTGAGGCCTTGTCAGTTAACCTGGGAGCTGAAACTCACGCTTTATATTTAGCCATTCACTTCAGGAGGTTTCTGGGTTAAATTTTTGGGGTCCCCCCCACTTAATCATTTCATCATATATATTTTTCAGAACCAGGTCTTTGTATCTGAACTTTGGCAGCAGGAAGAGTGAGATCCTGAGATGTTTCCAGCTTCTATTTTATATAGATTGAATTTCTTAATGTTATCTATTTAACAAAATCATGTTAAAAAACCCATGGAACTGGTTTGAAATCATAAAAGCAGAACTATCTGATGACTGAACATCAAAGATTTTTGGTTTATTCCGTTCAGAATAAATTCTTTAAGCTTAACTAGGCAGCTTGCAAGAGTAGAAAATTAAATGCAGTTGCAGGCACTGTAAAACAGGAGAGAACTTAGATGACAGCCATTTAACGACTAAACTCACTGAAAATACCAAATAGACAGACATGATTGTTATTTTAGGTCAAAGGCAAAGGCCTGATGTGTAAAATACAGTATTAAAAAGTGAAAATGGGACATTATAGTTTTGCATTGATTTATCTTAGGAGAAATCTATACCAGCTTAATAGTTGCATCCTTTCTGTTAGGAAAAGAATTACAAATATAACAAAACCCAACAGAAACCCAACAGTCCCTTTCTGTACAGCACACACATGGAGAAGAGACGGATGATTTATAAACTTGCAATTCAAATCATTGGAGGGAGTTTTTATATATAGTAAGTGTAAAACTTTACAAATTATTGTTTAGCCCATCCTTTCTCCGACAGAGTACATTTTTCAGCACCGTATCTTTTTTCACTTCCTTCCTCCCACATAATAAATCAGTAATATTTTCTGGCATTTTCCAGGGACAACAGATGCAATATTTACACTGCTTTCTGATAATGCTGAAAAGTACCTTAAGCAGTAAAAATTCAGTTGTGCTGCCAACCACTCTAGTTTTCTATTTTTTATGTATATATTTGTACTTTGTGTCTCTCTATATTTATATAAGCTATAAATTTCCTCTCTCTCACACACACACACACACTTAGATAAAGCTATGTATAAATATCTATTGAAAGATAGCAACTCAACCTCTAAATGTTTATTTGCTCTTGTTATAAAATTCAGACACTTAAGAAAATATTATTAAGTTATTAAAATTTTATAGCTTCTTAATTTTTGGCATGATGTCACCGCCTGTGTAAATAAATCTATGGATGAAAAACCTTTTCATATGGTCCCTCAATCAGGTTGATCTGGGCTGCAAATTTTCACAGGCTGCCACCCCACTCTGCAGGTGATTATGCAAAATGAAACAAAATTACACGTGTTTCAGGCGATGCTTCCCAGATGCAGCTCTGATCCCATTCTCACTATAACTAAGGCAGGTGAGTTGTGAAATCCAACCTATGAGCCTCATTAGCTTGTAAAATCTGTTATTTTTGCTAGCAACTGGAGAATTTTTCTCCCCCCCCGCCCAACTGTTGCTACTGATCTTTTAAAACTAGTGAATGTTTAAAGAGTTTGAATTCCGTGGATGTATCGCAGTTCCTAAGAATTCACAAGGTGCTGGGCAACTGCTGTGATTGGGGAACATGAAAAATCCTCATGGATAAGGATTTTTATGGAAGATAAAAGACACTGCAGCTTCACAGCAAGGCTTGGTTAGATGATACATATGAATACACAGGAACATTGCAAGAAGATTTAATACTAAATTTTGTAAGAAGGGTTAAATTCTCTAGTGGTTACAATAAAGATTCCTACGTCGCAAAACTTGGAAGATTTGTGGGGAAAAAGGGGTAAAAGCATGATAATTTCTGTGCTAAGTATGAAAACATGACTATCTGCTATGAGGACTGCAACAAATACTAACCATTAATATGACTACAAATGTATCTTTGGTTTTCTTTCTGGTTTAGAAATGCCTTCTCATTTTAACATCAAAATGCCTTCGTAAAGTATTTTCTAGGAAGTTCTGCTTCCTGCAGTACTTGCCCTTCAGCTGCAGAGTAACAGGAGAAAGGAAAAGAGTTAAAAGAATTAAATACAAAAGATATTTACTTAAAGAAAAGATAGAAAGAGGAAAAAATCTACAGCTGTTACACAAAGCACCTTTAGTCGTGACGAAGCACCAATATCAATTTCACTTATTAAAGAAATATGAGTAAACCCTTCTCCTAGGATCAGCACCAGGCCAAGTACTCTTGGCAAGAGGAGAGGGTGCTAAAAGCTTAATCCTTCTTTCTTTCCCTGAAAAAAAAAAAAAAAAAAGCAAAAACTGGTAATTCTGAAAAGCCTGTGACTGAAGACCCTGTGACTGAGAAAGCCGTTTAGAGTTTATTACTTTTTTTAAACAGCGCTATAGATTTTATACGCGGCTTAACCCAAAGCTATGACTGGTAATGGAAATCCAATTGGGGTTGGAAACTTATTGGAAGCAGCGTGTTCCAATGGACAGGGCATTAGACGTAGTAAAATAACTTGGATATTACTGCTGTTTTCTGTGACTTTGAGTAAAATGACAGTACTTAGTTTCCCTATCCGCAAAATTCAGTAGTAATGCTTCTAATCCTTTGTCATGTATTTTGACATCTCTAGATAAAAGGCATAAAGGCAGATAAGTAATATTAAAGTCTTCATTTGTGATGAATGCAATGATCTTCAGCCACACAACTTCCTATTGCTTTTTTTTTTTTTTTTTTTAATCTGAGTAGTTAGTTATAGGGAGTTTCAAAATCCAACTTTATATTATGCTAAGTGATATTATTTTAGAAAAAGAAGGAATAAAAGATCATTACACTTGACAGTTCTAAGGGATAATTCATCCCATCACAAACAGTTGTCTTAAATAGTCTGATTTTTCTCTCCTCGGTGTCTCTCTCCATTGACTAGAGAAGGGTGATTATCTTACGTTAGGTGCATAACTTTTACACAGCTGCATACAGCTGTGAACTCCCCTATAAACACAGAAAATCAGGATTTGGGGTGTAAACTCAGAGCTTTTGCGTTGTAAACTACAAAAGTGCACAGTGTTTATAGGATGCCATTTTGAAGCTAAACACATTAAAAAGTGGAAGTGTGAATCTTCTTTACTTTTCCAATATCATGAATGGGATGATATGGGGAGTTGAATGTGGCTGCTGGTGTGTTACTAAATAATATTTTTAATTGGAGGGGCATAAAAGCATGCTAGAGATTATGATGTAGGGTCTTGAGCTGTGTATTTTAAGAGTTTATTGCCAATATTTTATTTTGGCTGTGGGTTATTCCACTCTCTTAGTTGTCTAGAGGAGCTATAGACCACTGAGCCACTGAGCTTCTGTGGAATCAGCGTGTTGGTTATTTTCTTATGAGGGGAACACAAATGAGCTTGATATAAATATTTGTGAGTGAATCTTAACCTGTCTTAAAAAATTCCATTGATTTATGCTTTTTAATTAAGTTTTTGAAAAACCTACAAACCCACATATTATGTTTTTCCCTTTTTACATAGAGCATTATGACTTGTTGGCCAGGTTGGACGGGGCTGTGAGCAACCTGATCTAGTTAGTGGTGCCCCTGCTCCTGCAGGGGGGTTGGGCTAGACGACCTCTAGGGGTCCCTTCCAACCCCAAACATTCTATGATTCTATGACTTCTCTATAACCCTTTAAAATCATAAAGAATCCATCTCCATATAGCTAGGTACTTAGGTACTTACATGAAGTCCCTTACGATTTAGTATCAACTCACTTCAGAAAAAGAAAATAACAAAACTTGTTCAAGTGAACTAGCTGGATATAAAACCTGCATACTAATATATGCATATAAAGCCCTTTATAAATAAACCATATTTTTCCATTCATTTACAAATACACATAATTGTCCATGTCTTCCCTTTAGAGCTGAAAAGCTGATATAAATAATTCTCTCTATACAGTTCAGCTACTCAAAATAAAGACATTTTAATATTGCTAATCTGGCTAAAGCCAATATTTGTTCCGCAGCAATAACGTATGTTGTTTTCTTCTCCACAATGTTTTAAACTGTTGTAGAGACATCTCTATATTAAAACTAATGGATTTTAAATTAATTCAACATTTGTATTCTGATCACGTTTTCTATCATATATCTGAAAGCTTGCATTCTGCTGATGATAAAGGGCTACAAGAAACAATACTGATTATTTTGAATTAAAATGGCTAAGTTGAAGCTATTTTAGGCTGAAAGGAGCCTATTGATGTCTTTATTTGCTAGGTGCAGCCAAGTCACTGATACAAGGACCAAGTAGGTGACAACTCAAGTTGTAAATGTAGCAGGACTGGGTGTTTGACCTTCCCAGTTTCCATCTAGAGTTCTGCTTTTAAAATAGGGGCCTAGATTCCTCATGCGTCTCTTCAGCTTGGTTCAGTTGCTCTTGCACAGATGTCAGATGCCATATGCCATGTCCTGGGAACATTTTGCCTCAGATGCTGTTTCAGAACGGCACAGGGCTCCTGTATCTGTTGTGTTATCTCTGGAAGTCTTATACAGATGTCTCAGAAAACTCAGGGCATCTAAACCAGCCCAAACCATTTCTTCTTAGGCAACTGAATCCCTCTCCTACAGTTGATCAGATTAATCCAAGAGAAAGTGAATTGCAATTGGCACCATGGTAAGAACCAACAGGTGGCATCTCAGTTACGTGAAATTATTGTTGTGGGTTTTGTCAATGAATAGGGTTAGCTGGTCTATGTAAGTAAAGTTTCTGAAACAGTATGTTCTGCAAGAAAAAAAAAAAAATAAAAAAAAAAAGAGGGAATGGCAACTTATTGCTCCCCAGGGGCTGCCTGCTGGGGTTAAAGCAATTGCTGCTGCAGATGAAAACCCACTCCTGCACCACTACCACAGCACGATGGTCCTGACTGCCTCACCCCTCCCCTGGCCACCTTGGCAGAGCAGACAGGAAAGCTCTGGAAATGTTATTCTCCTGGTTTTAGCTATACCACTGCCAAGACAGTAACAGTAAATAGCCATATCTAAGAGCTGCGGGGTAACTCAGTCTTGTATGGCCTGACCCCATGCATTGGCAAGCAATAAACTGTAAGGAGACACACTCATACACCGGCGGGCTGAATGTTGAAATCACACAATATAGGTACTAAATGCCATATACGTACTAAATGCCATATACCAATAAGTGCAGGTATCTCTTTATGTCTTTGTTGTGGTTTAACCCAGCTGGCAACTCAGCACCACGCAGCCGCTCGCTCACTCCCCCCTCCCTCAGTGGGATGGGGGAGAGAATCGGGAAGGAGAAGAAAGGTTAGAACCATGGGCTGAGATAAAGAGCAAATAATATTAATAGCCCCCCCGGCCGCCCGACTGCCCCCCGCCCCCGCCAGCGTGAGACTCTTAATCTCAGGGTCGTGGGTTCGAGCCCCCCCCCACTAGCATGATGTTCTATGGTCTGGAATAGCTCTTTGGTCAGTTTGGGTTAGCTGTCCTAGCTGTGCTGTACTCCCAACTCGTTATGCACCTGGCCGAGCAGGAGAAGCTCAAAAAGTCCTTGAGTAGTCTGAGCACTACTTGGCAACAGCTGAAAACATCAGTGTGTTATCAACATTCTTGTAGTACTAAATCCAAAACACAGCACTACGCTAGCTTCTATGAAGAAAATTAACTCTATCCTAGCCTAAACCAGGACAGTCTTTATCTCTTTATATCTTTAATGATACATAATATTGTATGCATATGCAGAAATAAGTTTTGCATGCTGTTGCAGATGTGGCCTAGCAAGTACTGAGTACAGTGCAATAAACGTCCCTTGGTCTCCTGGCTGCTCTCGTGCTGATGCAGCCCAGGACTCAGTTTTAGCTATTTGGCTGCAAGATCAGCAGTGCTGACTCATGTTATAGCTTTTCCT